ATCCTCATCGAGCAATGCCTCCAATTCAGCGTCTTCGAAGGTTTTTGGCCTTCCTTCACGCGGACGGTCGTCAACATCAAAATCACCATCTTTGAAGCGGCGGAACCAATCACGGCACGTTGTTTCACTTAGAGCAGCATCTCCGTAAACTTTTTGGAGCTCTCGATGCGCTTCAGCCGCCGTTTTCTTCGAATGAAATAAAAAAATCAACACTTCCCGCAAATAACGATTATTTGGTACAAAATCAGATATTTTCACATAACCAAAAGTATATGACGCCAAAACAAAATCACTAACGTGTCAAAGCGGTTTATTTACCATATGTCTCAGCTTGGCTCGTGACGTTTTGGATATGTCAAAATCGACCAGCACTTACTGCTGGAGCCATCTAGTGACAAACAGCGGGAACTTAGTTGCGCACCTAATAGAATATTGAGAAAGGTAACTTTTTAGATGTTAGAATTAATTTGTAGCGTTTTACAAGAGATGGCGTAGTACAGTATTTCGTTGTTATCTACAGTAATGTATTCATCGTGAAACAGCTGTCATTGAACGTCATTTGCTTTACATAACCTTTTTTTGAATCGTAAATAACAACATTTTATAATTTATTGAATATGTCAAAATTTGTGCCAAATAAAGTGTTTTGCTTCATTACTTAAATATGAACAAAAGTGCTGCTGAAGCTCATCGTATTTTAGTGGAAATGTATGGTGAACATGCTCTAGCTGAGCAAACGTGTCGGAAGTGGTTTGCACGTTTTAAAGCTGGTGATTTCGACATGGATGACAAGGAGCGACCTGGTCAGCCGAAAGAATTTGAAGATAATGATTTGGAGGCATTGCTTAATGAAGACTCATGTCAAACACTTCAAGAATTGTCTACATCATTGGAAGTTGAATTATTAACAGTAGGAAAACATCTTAAAAGTTTGGACATGATGCAGAAGGAAGGACATTGGGTCCCATATGAATTGAAACCAAGGGACATTGAGAGATGTTTTTTGACGTGTGAACTGCTGCTTCAACGGGAGAAAAAAAAAGTTTTTTGCATCGAATTATCACCGGTAATGAAAAATGTATCCATTACGACAATCCGAAGCGCAGAAAGTCATGGGTTAAGCCCGGCCAACCATCAACATCAGTGGCAAAGCCGAATATCCATGGGTCTAAGCTCCTGCTCTGTATTTGGTGGGATCAGAAGGGTGTGATTTAGTATGAACTGCTGCAACCGAATGAAACCATAACTGGGGATCGCCACCGACTACAATTGATGCGTGCATTAGAAGAAAAACGGCCGGAATAGACAACACATCCACATGTAAGTGTTTCCAGGTATGTTTGTACCGGTTTCTCGACGTGCGGACGAGCATTGTCGTGCAGCAAAATGATTTTGTCGTGTCTTTTCTCCAAAACACGTCAAAGTCATTTTGCTGCACGACAATGCTCGTCCGCACGTCGCAAAACCGGTACAAACATACCTGGAAACACTTACATGTGGAATCCTATCCCACCCGCCGTATTCTCCAGATGTTGCTCCTTCTAATTACCATTTGTTTCGTTCGATGGCTCATAGCCTGTCTGAGCAGAAGTTCACTTCTTACAAAGATTGTCAAAAATGGGTCGAGTCGTGGATTGCATCTAAAGACGAAGTGTTCTTCGACACGGTATTCGTTCCCTGCTCGAAAAATGGTCAAAATTAGTAGAAAGCGATGGGCAATACTTTAATTAATGTATTTTTTTATTTTCATTTAAAATAAATAATTTTTTTCATTAAAAAAATGCTACGAATTAATTCCAATTTCTAATATTTTTAAGCTATACATTTATTTAGGCTAACATTTTTCTTATTTATCATTGACAGTTTAAATTTAAAAAAGTTTTTTTACTTTTTATTGCTAAACGATAGGTAAAAACATTCAAGATAAGGGTCATTTTAAAATTTCAAAAATTTAAACTTAGTTAAAAAATATATGTATTAAAGATATTAATTTTTTCAAATATTACTATTATATTAGTATATTATTTTTTAAATCATTTCTATATAAAAGAAAAATTTGAAGAATTAATTCTAAAATATTGGGAAAACAAACAATATATTTTGAAATATGTTTAATACTTAAGTAAAGGAAAGATTAATAAATTAGAATTGCAAGTGAAAAATTTTATTGAAATATATCTACTTCTAATCGATTTTTAGTTTAATGTTATTAAATATTTAAATGGTCTTTAAAACTCATGAAACTAAAAAAATTGTTTTTAGATACTCAGAAAAATACTTTGTGTTGAACTAGAAATGTTCAACTATTTTTAGTTTGTTCTAAAAAAGGACAAGAAAGAAAAGGATTTTTATTGTATAATGGCTGATGGCCATTTGATCCAAATTGGAGATAATGCTACTATAGCATTCAACATTCTACTAAAATTGTATTACTGTTTTGATGTAGAATTTGCTTCTGATTTAGTAAACTTTTATGATTTCATAACGGGCTGCATAATGAAACTTCATAAACCAAAAGGATGTAGCATTGCACTAGAAACAACTTTACAAAACGTAACGTTAAAAGAAAATGATGAAAAGTATGTAAAAACTGGACTTTAGTTTTTGATATTCTATATTATTTTTATATTTGTGATATTACTAAAAATTTTATTTATACTTACGGTGACAACGAACAGATTGAAGAATACAAAATTCAAGAAGAAGAAATTAATTAGTTAGTTAACTAATTAATAGTTATATAGTTAACTTATTAACTAATTAATAAGTAAGCAGCAGTTAAATTATGCATAATAAATTATATTATTAATAAATGTTCTAAGTAGTAATTTTACTATAATATATTACTATAACTTGTAATTAATCGCGTATACTGTAAAAGCAAAGCGAAAGATTAAGTCGAATGTTACAAAAGATATGTTACAAAAAATATTTGTTTTTTATTCGATACAATTTTTTTACGCGTACATTTTTATTATATCTACATATATATTATATTTATATACATATATGTAATTCCGCGCGATATTATATTACAGTTATGCTTAAAACAAAAAATGAAAACCGATCGGCAACTTTATAATACATTATTAATGTTAATAAAATTATTAATGTTCTTATAATAAAATTACATCTTTAATGTCATTAATATTATGTTAATTGTCTGTTTCTTAAATAACATCATTTTTATAATTCTATGCTCCTATGCTTTATAATATCTTAACAGAACGTGTGAAAAGTATATCTAATACTTACAGATAAATACTAAACTTTTACCGCGCTCTTAATAAAGATATTATATATGAAGTGTATGTAGCTCTGGGAAGCGTTGAATTATATATATATATATATATTTAATAAAATATTTTTCTTTTGTAGAATACTGAGCAGTTATTACGTATCTAATATTGAAATCGTTTTCGATCAGGATGATTTATTGTTTTTATGTTTCCCTAAATAACATAATAAGATATATAGAGAAAATAAAAACAGTGAATCATTCCGTTTTAAAACTATTTCTGATTACATATAAAATAACTGCCTAGAATTCTCATTCTAATAGAATATTGAAAAAGTCTCATTCTAATAGAATAGAATATTGAAAAAGTCTCATTCTAATAGAATACTGAAAGTCTCACTCTACTAGAGTAAAACTTAGAGTGAAATGTGCCACTCTTTTTAGAGTGGAATTATAAATCCAAAGGAAGAATAAATAATTTCACTTTTTAAAATAAATAATTTCACTCCATATAGACTGGCAGTATTTTCATTATCGCTTGGAGTGACTTTTCATTCCAAAAGAGTTAGATTTCACGCCAAAAAATTTAGCGTATATACATATATGTATATGTATATATATGTATATATATATATATATATATATATATATATATATAAGTGAATGAA